TTGATCCTCTCCACCCATAGACATGGTTCAAGTGATTTTTCAGGCATTTGAAAGGTATGATTCTCTTCACCCCAAAATGCGGGGTGGAGCGGATCACACTTTGGAATTTTTTTAAAAATCGTTCATGATAGTTGGAATATTTTTTTTCACTAAGGTATAGAGGTAGGATGCGCGTATCATATATATTTTTTTCACACTGCTGAGGACTGTACTTCGGTTGCAGCGCTGAACAAAACCTCAGATTTTGATCCGTTTCACCCCAGTTGACGGTACGTATTATCTGGTAGGTATGTTTTGCTAGGCTAGCCAAGATAGCCATTAGATGTACCTTGTTGACTCAATAAAAATATTACTTGTGATCAGAGGGTTATTCAGATGACAAACAAATCCAAAAGATATAGATTCCAACAATTGTGCAAATTTTTGGTTTCATATTGGAGTCAAAAATGTCTCGATCATCCACTACTACCGGTGCGTTCCAGAAGAAATGTAGATAATGCTAAAAAATTACCTCCAGATTCAGCTGCGCCTTGCCTTCGAAGTAGTTAACATTCAACAGGTGTCTCCAGCTTGTACCAAATATCCTACAAGCTTTACAAACAATACCATGTATGAAAAACGCCTATCCAACCAATTGTATATGGTTGGAATTGAGTGGAGATTATCAATAACGAGGTTACGACGAAAACCGATCGTGATCAGAGATAAAAATCCCATGTGGGATCTATGTCCTCAGATAAAAGTCAACCACTGTAGTTGCTGATACACCACTTGTAGTCAATGAAGTTGTTACAATTCCCAACAAATTGGGACACCTCGTGTGGATGTTAATCAACCTGCCTGAACATCTCACACTTCATGTAGAACCATGAGATAATTCTATTGGGTGGTAGATAAACGCAGGCAACCAGAGCCAGACCATGAGTAGACAGACGTTTGTGAGCTCCTATCTCCTGGTCCATGGGACAAATCAGATTGGTTTCACCACGCATACTGTTATCGACGGCGACGTCAGAGTGGGCACCTTAATTGGTGTTGACGTCAAGCCTGACGCATCAAACTACGTTAAATACATTGCTCTGTCAGGTTCAGAGCAGCTAGATGGTATTATACTACCTGATGTTCTTTTATTAGTGAAGACTGATGACTTCATTCGCGCTTCGTTCGTGGGCGTAAAAGTCGATAGAGAGGAGAGGTTGAGATTAACTTCGAAGGCGATGCGTGATGGGAAAAGCATTTCCATGTTTACTTTACAGAGAGTTCCATTTTCTAGGAACTCAGCGGTTAAGGAAGAAGACGTCAGCAGTATACACAAAATAGCTGGGGCTTCTGACTGGAAGAGCGTTGGCCGCTCTTCGAAGAAAGCCACCAATTCTGTTGTTGTTGCGCAAAAGAAGAACGGGAAGGGCTCTGATAATTTGAATCCGAGCAGTCCTATGAGAACACTGAAAAATGCTGCTAATTCGGTTTCGTCCTCTAAGGATGACTCTGCAAATCTGGATCATATTCAGAAGATGTAAATTGCAACAAGAACTTCGAGGAATGTTTTTATCGCGTTTCACACAATTTTGTCAATTTTTGATTATTTTATTAAATCACAATAGTGGTGACATCGTAACAATAATAATAGTACCAAGCTATGCATTCACATAGACCTCATTATAATGGTAAATGTTATAGATTCATTTTGTAGGTTTGTATGGTAACCTATTAGTTCATATTCAGTTATCGACAGTAAGCATACGCATAATAAATCCTCCCTGAGAAATGAGGATAATCATTTTAACGACAATGAGGTCTAAGATAATTTATAGAGACGTAGTCATGGAACACAGTGTCAGTACTTGTGAACTGGGTAAAATCGTTAGATCTGATAAAAGGGTTATTCAGCTAGATAATATCTGGGAGTTTATTTTTTATGAAATCGATAAATATACCATGACATATGCATTTATTTTGTAATGTAATAAAGTATGTGGAGGACAGCTCTTTATTTCTTCAATTTCTGATGCAAGAATATGTATCTCAGCTTCAAGTCTTTTCTATCTATCCATTGATTCTTGTCAATTATATCCCCAATGTACATCAATATATTTTCTAGGGTTCACACTGATTGTGAAGTTCTATCAGTTCATTCTATCAGTTTCTGAGGCAAAAACATGTACCTCAGCCCTGAGTCCACTCAATTCAACCCCATTGGGTCCTGAGATACATCCCAAGAATCATCAAAATATTTTATAAAGATGGTATTGACAGTTTGGGATAGCTGGATCAAGAATCCTTTGGTGAATATTGTATAAGCATCGTATTGACAGTTGAGGATAGCTGGATTAAGAATCCCTTGGTGAATATTGTATGAGTATCGTATTGACAGTTGAGGATATCTGAATCTACATTCATTTAGTTTCTGAGACGAGAACATGTACCTCAGCCCTGAGTCTACTCAATTCAACCCCATTGGGTCCTGAGATACATCCCCAAAAACATCAAAATATTTCATAGAGATCGTATTGACAGTTTAGGATAGCTGGATTAAGAATCCTTTGGTGAAAATTGTATAAGCATCGTATTGACAGTTGAGGATATCTGAATCCACATTCTTTTAGTTTCTGAGACGAGAACATGTACCTCAGCCCTGAGTCTACTCAATTCAACCCCATTGGGTCCTGAGATACATCCCCAAAAACATCAAAATATTTCATAGAGATCGTATTCACAGTTTAGGATAGCAGGATTAAGAATCCTTTGGTGAATATTTTATATGCTTCGTTTTGATAGTTGAGGATATCTGACTCCACATTCTTCTAGTTTCTGAGACGAGAACATGTACCTCAGCCCTGAGTCTACTCAATTCAACCCCATTGGGTCCTGAGATACATCCCTAAAAACTTCAAAATATTTCATAGAGATCGTATTGACAGTTTAGGATAGCTGGATTAAGAATCCTTTGGTGAATATTGTATAGGGATTTACAGTTGAGAATATCTGAATCCACATCTCCAAGTTTCTGAGACGAGAAAATGTACCTCAGCCCTGAGTCTACTCAATTCAACCACATTGGGTCCTGAGATACATCCCCAAAAACATCAAAAATATTTCATAGAGATCGTATTGACAGTTTAGGATAGCTGGATTAAGAATCCTTTGGTGAATATTGTATATGCTTCGTTTTGATAGTTGAGGATATCTGACTCCACATTCTTCTAGTTTCTGAGACGAGAACATGTACCTCAGCCCTGAGTCTACTCAATTCAACCCCATTGGGTCCTGAGATACACCGCTGAAAAAATCGATATACCTATTTCAAAGAAACCGTATTAAATGTGTAGGATAGCTAGATCATCTTCATTCTAGTTTCTGGGACAGGAAAACATGTATTCCATATTCTATAGGGGAAAAAATGTGTACCAATGTTCATTTCATTCAATTCCAGTCCAAGGATGTCTGAAATTCACTGCAGGTTCATTTGTTATTTGTTGTGTGTGATTAGGCCACTTTGAAAAGTCAAGTAAATGTTAGATATTGATCAATTCATGAAACGCGTTTTTTTTTTAATGCATTTGACTGCTCTTCTCTCTTTCCTGGAATATCTAATGTATTACAGTAGATAATGGTTGGAATGCCGCAAGAAAGCTATGAAATTGAAAAAAAAAACATCAAGACACTTTGAGAAAATAATCATCACAAAAATTCAAAATCTTGTGATACCTGAAAATTTTCGGAACCTTTGTCATAACTTTTACATTGAATTTTCAGATGAATATTTTTTCAAATAAGTGTTTCAGATACTGTCTGTAGGTTAATCGAGGAGGTGGTACATTCATTTTACTTGATTCTTTGGGATTTTCTCTCCTTGATTCTATAAAATAAAAGTTATTTCAATATATTTGTAGAAGGACAAATCAGATGATTTGCCCCGAAAGGAAAACATCCTGTAACTCATTTGTAGACTAAAATCACTCATTCATATGCCAACATCAGTATGACACTGAAAAGTGTCAAACTATAAGCAGCAGAACTCTCAAAGAAACATAATTTGCATTTACATGTTGAGCAGAATCGGTCCCGAAACGTCCAAAGATAAGTAAAAATTCGATATTTTTTCAATATATATATATTTCTTTTATTCAAACATTTTTTCAAACAAATTGTCACTGAGAAGCTACTGGATTTTTCTTT